TTGCCCGTGTTTTCAATAAAGCTGGAGCTAATCAAATATATGCATATATAAGCAGATACATACAAGAATAATTCCGCTTTTTCGTGTTAACAGCCTATATATGTATATATATGCGTACATGCTGCTTAGCCGGTCTCTCGCAACTCTCATCCGTCTGATTCCACGATCAAGTGGCCTGACTTCAATACACATTTATTTAACTCAAGTCCCTCCTTACTAAGTGACTTATTTATAAATAGGGTAAACGCTTGTTTGGCCAAATTTATGAAGGGGTTAGGTTACAACTGGGGCATTTGATCCATTATGATATAGTAGAGAGACAGCCTATTGTGATATTCCTCCATCATCTCCATCGGTGTTTCAATAGTATGATTGCCGTTCTGCACCAGTTCCTCCTCAGTGCCCTCCTCCAGGCTATAAAGACTTCTTAACCTCCCGAAATAATAGGATAAGAGGTCCTTCAAAGTGTGCAACGCTGTTTTTGCTTCTCCCTGCAATTTAATCCCTCCTTGAAGTATGCTGTTCCTGAATAAATTATTATTCACGGAATTCATTAGTTCATTTATATCTTCCTCTTTAAAGCTGTGGAGAACGATGTAGTATTCTACCCCTAATTCAGGTGCTTGGTAGGAATTCTTTCAAATTGGCTCTATTTTGTCTACACTTATTTCTGAGTTCTCATATAATTTGTTTATAATTTTGGAAATAAGGGGGTTCTAATTCTTTCCGTGTAGTATTTTAATTTTTCTGTGGGTCATCCTACAGGACATGTCTAATTTCAAGAAAATAGTCTGTCGATTTTTGCTCTCCTCTTTTCTCATTTCTTTGTGGAATATGTTGCAAGTTTTCGTTAATTCCCTCAGGGCTGTCTTTTGTCATGTCTTGGGCCTTTTCATTATATGTATATTCATTCTGGGTCGTAGGGTGTTCAGTTAAAATTCATGCCCGCTGCTCAAAGAAATGTGCAATTTCAACAATAACATTCAAAACATAGGCATGCTTAAATTTTATATTTTTCAGACATTAAGATTATTAATATATACTACTTTTATTTTCTTCTGTATGTATAGTCTACAGCAGATGTGGGATTTCTTCTTATTTTAATAAACTTGTCATCTCACTGGAATGCTGATATAAGTAATCACCGCGGGAAATAACATACAGAGGAGTGTCGGACTGAACACATGAGGAATTTCTTCACTTTCTACTTCTTCCCCTCATGACTTAGATGAATAAATATACCTAAAAAGATCTACTCGGTATATAATAGTGCTTCTGTACAGAGTTGTAGACGCTCATATGAGAGAAATCATTTATTGAAAGTAATTTTCAAAAGTAAAAAGAGAGCTTCTCTTATAGTAAAAGAAATTATTCTAGAATTTCTATCTCTAAATCTAAAGAAGCGCAAAACATACATAAAAAAGTTACAGAGTATAACAAAAAAGAAAAGAAGGAGAACTCCACTTTGTTATCTTTCCCGAATTGAAAATGAAACATGTATGATATAATTAGAAAAAAAAGAGGAAAAAGACAGAAAGAAGAAGAAAAGGAGAAGAATTATAAATGACAAAAAATACACACTTTTAAGGTTAAATATAAGGAAATCAAACAGCGCGCGACAACTACAAAAAATGAAAAAGGAAAAATTATAGATGACATGAAATACAGACTCTTAAGGTGGAACATAAAAGAATCAAACGACGGACAGCAACTACAAAGGAAAAAGAAAAAAAAGAAAACGAGTAAGACAATCGGAAGTGGAAAATGAGAAGGGGAAGCAGAAAAAGGGACAAAGAAAAAAACGGAAGGAAAAACACTCATCTTTATACAACATAGAAATAAAAGGAATTCCTAAATACAAAAGACAAATGAGGGAAAGAAAAAAATATATGTAAGCACATGTATATGTATGCTGCTCAGCTCTTACCAGAACGACACTTCTGCGAGCAATGTTCATAAAAGGAAACAACCTTCTTCAAATACACATCTTAATTAACATATAACAACAAATAAAGTACAAAGGAAAAAATCCCCCTGCTTCTATATTTTTAAGATTACTCCCAGATCGAATATTTCTCTTGATAATGAGAAACTCTGAATTCTGCATAATTGTATATAACAGCATTTACATCACATTTCAGATGCTATATTCCCAATGAATGACCCCCTGATTTGATTTTTATATTAACATTACATTATATTGGCCATAAAATGAATACAATGGTGTCGTAGGAGAATAGGGCGGATTAAGAAAATTTTACAATTATTTTATTATCACTGGGAATATTTGAAACTGTTTCTTACGGGTAAATAAATCCTGAAGAAAAATATTTTTTCTTTTTTTCGTAAAAATAAACCTATTATGCGTATGAATCTGAGGACCCAAAGACTAATTTGTGGTGTAATTTATTAACAACCGTCACATGTCACTAATGCGGGATGCATCAGAAATTCTATTTTCTCATTATTGGGGGATATGTAACCTCATATAAAATGCTATACGGAACTTCCACTATCTTATGATTTTAATTAGGGAGCATATTCCTATTGACTTATATTCAGGTTATCGTAGCATATTTGCTGAAAAATATAGAACGAATTAACCAGGAAAAAAAAAAAAAAAATAGAGAATAGCAAATATATTCTTTTAACAGATTAAGTTAAGAATAATAATTTAATCCATCCGTGATAATGCCAAAAATATTTTTCCATAGACGACCGTTTAGGAATAAGAGCTGCCATGTAAAAGATGTGTAAATTACGCAAATAATATAATGGGAAGGGAATTTTCATTTATCTTGATTTATTCTCATTTATTTTTATTTATTTCTATTTATTCTTATCTATTCCTATTCATTCTTATCCATTGCAACTTATTCATTCTTATTTATTTTTATTTATTTCTATTTATTTTTATTTATTTCTATTTATCTTTATTTATTTCTATTTATCTTTATTTATTTATCTATACTTAACGCGTGCATTGCGTAGTAATCTTTCTCTTCTTTTCCAACTACTATTTTTCTCCTCTTATTAATGACACATCCCATTTCTTAATTATGAGCAGTTACAGATTGCATAATTGTATGACCACATATGTCATAAGAAATATCTCTCAGGGGGGAACGAATTTTATATCATACCATACAATTCTTTCATAAGAGGCTAGCAGAAGAAATCGCAGAATTCAG